CAAAGGATATATTAACTTTAAAGATAATAGTAGTAATAATAACAACAAGAGGAAATTGTCTTCCTTTTACAACTTTATGGTGTAACAATCTCAAATAGGGCCATCTTTATCCATGCTGGAAAATTGTTAAAGGATATGATAATGAAAGGGCTACAGTGAACCTTCACAGCGAATTAAAAATAAAGTTTTATTTTTCAAATATGAGGACAAACCATAGTGAAATTATAAGAAAAGCACTGAGAGACCAAAAAGCTATATAGGTGTCAAAGAAAAAAAAATTAATTTGACCAAACTAGGAATTGTTCTTAGGGAAAGTTATCATCAAAACAGTTAACCCTGTAGAACAATCGATTTTCTTGAAAATAATAAGTACAATAAGTTTACGTTATATATTGGAAAGAATATTACATATTGCTGAATATATATTTAGTTCCACGGAGTCTTCTTAAGGAATAGGACTTCAAAGGGAACTCTTGTTTAGCGAAGGAAGACAATATGTATATATCTTAACGAAGAAGTAGCTGTAATTGTAATTATGGAGCACATATATGTAGTAACTAATTTGTTTATTAAGGTGCTCGCCTGGTGCACTTAAATGCACGTAAGGGTATTCATATATTACAATTTCTTTCAAGGAAACCAAGCACAAAATATTCTTTCTAACATGATAAATAACGTACTTGCTAAAGGAAGAATTAAAAAAAAAAAAAAAATGAAGATGCGCATCTATATCTTATCTGTGTTACTACATTTTCTTTGGACATTTCAACAACGTTTGTGTTCTTTTCTTCTTTAACAAGAATGCTTTTATTATGTCCTGACATTTTCTACCTAGAATTAAAAAAACGTCTTTTTTGTATGAGTTAGTCATAGCGCGATATATATTCTTATGCGTTACCTATAGACACTATCGCAGAGACTTGCATTCTATCATACAGTTCGAGAGGGATGAATATTATTATATAAAATTTAATGTAGTACGAGATTTTCTCTAAGCATATGCAAGTGTTTGATTTCGTTCACTGCTCGTGATTAAAAATAAATATTTTACCATCCCTCACAAAACAATTTGACTTTTTAATTAGTGGTTATTTTCAATGTAAACAGATTAAGTAATAAGAGTGAGAAGAAAAAAAGGTAGAAGAATATTAAAGGAATCCCGGACAACATAACGATCAAATATTATTCAGCAATATCAATATTCAAAGACTGTGTAAGTTCAGGGTACTAACTACTACCTGAAAATTCTAAGATACAAGAATCATCTATATACATTACTGTTTAAATGTCTTTTCTTATTATGAACTGGAAGCTGAACATCCACTGTTTTATTTATCTTAATAATTATGTGTCGCACAGTTTAATCAATGACCATGATTTTCAAATATCATTTATTGTTGTAGCTAGTGATACCATTAATGAAAGGTATTAGAAAATGAAACAAGAGCAGTTCCAAGTTATTCCCTTACAAAGGAACTAAATAGTACGGTATAAGTTGTGTTCCCTTCCTATTAGTTTGTGCAAACTGTGTTTGCTGTTTTTTATGAGTTGTTGTTCCGTATTGACCGGCATAATGATAGTTATAGTCGGAATAATTTGGTAGTTTAAGGCTTTTAAGATTGAGGTTATTATTCGGTGTGATAAAGGTTTCATTATAGAGTTTCGGACATAGTGCGAATTAAAGAAGAAGAAGAAAATATTTTAATCTACCTTGTTCCAGTGGAATCTGTATTAGAAGATAATACCAGGAAGTACAAATGTGTCTAAAATAGTTAATATGTTTGTAATGTCTTTGCATTCCTCTATGTGTAAAAAGGTAAAATACATATGTTCAGGATGCAATTTCCTTCTTAAGTTTCTTAAGTGCTTTTCTTAATTTCTTTTTGATAACGTTCCTGAAACGTTGTTAGATTTCTTGCTCTGCACATTTTTCACTCAGTTTCTGTCATCGGCTAAACTGTCCGAAGAAAAATAAAAAGAAAAGATATTCAAGAGAGAAAGGAAAAGAAAAAAAAAAGGTGTGCGCTTCGTTAATTTCTGCTGATATTATATGTCTCTCCTTCCCATATATTTATTAATACTCTAAATTGTTAAAATAGAGAGACCTTTAGCGGGATGGGGGAATTTTAACTACAAAATTTTGATATGAAAGTGTGCATACAATGACATAGAGTCATTGAAAAAGGAATAATCGCTACGGATATCTGCACAAAATGATTTTTTCAAAAAAGGTACAGAGGAAAGTGTTCATTACACAGTACTACTCGGAGTTTATTTCACATTTACCTAAGCTAAACTCTGTTTTCTTTTTTTCCATTGCTAACTGTCTTCATACTAGACTCTCTTTTTTTATCTTACCATTATTATTCCCATAGAACATGGGGAGTCATAAATTAATTGAAATGATCCTTTAAGGGCCGATGTGTCTCTATGTTTGTATTTTAATAATTGAACTGTATCTGTATTTTCATCACAATTAAAATGGAAGATCTTTAGCAATCACGATGAGAACTACGGGATTTTCTTTCTTGCGACTTTGAAAAAACACACTTTTCTGAAAATCATGGTTTTGCTTATATGAGGACTAAGTTTTTCAAGACTAAAAAAAGAGAACTATAAATATATTTTTAATATATATTTTCCAATTTGGGATTATGTTGAAGGGGTTCTTTGACCATAGTATCTTTTTTCGGCTATGTGTAACTGTAAAGGGTAATGTTAGTTTAATGAATCGAGCACTTAACAGTTGCAATATTGTTCTATTGGACGAAAAAAGAATTTTTCTCATTTTAAAAGTCAATCATTTACGCTTGAATCTTCAAAAAGAATGTCTTTTACTAAGATTTATATTTGGTTGCCATGGAACACTGAATTTCGTAGACTTCTGTGTATGTTTTGATAGAGGAAGAGTATCCCTCCCTTGAATGTAGCCAAAACTTTCATTGGTTCCGCCAAAATAGTATCCGCGGCTAACTAAAATTGTGAACTAACTTCTTAAATTAATATACAAAAGAAACGTAACTTAGATTAAAAGTATCAAATTTGTAATATTGACTGTATTTACGGTACTGAGAAGGTACTCTTTCACTTATTAATTGTTTAATCGGGTTCTTAGTGATTCTAAAGGATAATTATACTTGTTTTACTTACATTTTGCTTAAGATCACAATATAGATGAACACAAGTTAAACGAATGCAGATTATAAAAGAAAAGGTGGCCAGTTCGAAGTCATAAGATACGTTCATTTGATTTGGAGTACATAGTAATTGTTTAGCAAACAGCACATCTGAATGAGAGGTATGAACACAGTGACAACTATACATATATATAGATGCGCACTTGATGAGAATAAGTCAGTTTACTTAGCTGTCAATATCTCTCATCTATAGTTGCTGGCCCTTTTCTTCGAGATTTCATTTATCCGACACCATCGATAAGTACGCAATCAAAAAAAGGCGATTATCGTGGGTCTAGTTTAATGTCATTTCCCACTGTCTTCGCAATTTTATTTGTAAGTTTCTATTACTTTGCCTTCCCCGCCTTCTTCTCCTGCTTCCTTCGCCATTCGTTTTTCTGCCTGAGTGGGTCCGGGCTAAATTCTCTTTTTTCCTTGCCTCCTCGTTTGTTTAACAATTTTTTGAACATTAAAACAAAATCCCCTAAAATATTATCCCAAATAGAGATGAGCCTATTTATATTGACATAGCTTTCATTATTTTATAAAGAATCGTTATTTAATTCAGTTACTGTAGATTAATACAAGGAAACCTTTGTTAACATAACCAGGTAAGGCATTTAAACGTTTAATAATACAGTTACTGAGCTACTTAACTCTACAAGTCATATTGGAATAAGAAAATCATCATCATCTATTAGAGAAAAATGTTTTTATTTATACCTTTAATTTGTGGAACAAAAGAATTTAACTCTGCATATGATAATAAACCTGAGCATGTAGGTCTTTATTGTCCACATTGCCATAATAATAGTGTTTCACCAATGAAAAACAAAGAGTTTTTCACATTTTATTTTATTCCTTTAGTACCGGTACATTGGGGTAAACAATTGCGTTGTTCAATATGCAATTGGAGGCAGGATTTTACTAGTGATGCTGAGTTGGAAAATATGACTGCATATCAGAAAGTACAATAGTTTATTTTTATACCATAATTTTTTTCTCGTTTCTGAATTTAAGTCAGATCTTGGGAAACATTAAATAAATAGAAAAATAATATTCAAAAAAAATATATTACATAATTATTTTCAAAACGTAAACAAAATATAAAAATGACAAACAAATTTCTAATCAATTAATGTTGCAATATACGAACAAAAATAGACAAATAACTAGCTAATATAGGTCACTTTATTATTAACATAATACCTTCTGCCGTTATATGGCCTTAAATACATGAACATATGACATTTATTTATTAATTGGCGATATATTACAAAAAAAAACGTGGGTTAAAAGTATGTATTTGTATTAACTACCACATATTAGGTACTCAGAACTAGTTACAATGTAGTTTTACATGTGTATTTTGCCACTTTACTTCACTACCCACTATTTTAGTTCAAAATATTTTGAATTTCTGAGAAAGGTTACGAATATGAATATCTATATAAGGATAAATATATTAAAGGGTTTCATTTTTTTTTTTGAATTCCACTATGTTTCTTCATTCTCTAATCTATCTTGACGTCTTTGCATCTCTGTTTCTAAATTTTTAATTAACATTGACTCTGCCATTAAAACATTTTTCATAGTATTCCCAGTAATTGTAAAAAAATAAACATGATCATCTTTAGTCTCTACTGACTTTGCTGCAATTATCTTTGTATTTGTATATTTTCTCAAACTATTCAATCTTTTACCTTGTTTACCTAACATTGCTCCAACAAAATTTTCTGGAACCAATACAGTTGCTTTAACCTCATCATTATCAATTGAATTTTTTAAATGTGGATAATAAATTTTACCATTATTCAATCCAATTGTATTATTATTTTCTTTATCATCAATAAGAATCAAACCAATATCATTAATTGTATTTGATATTGAACTTGGAAATCCTTGAATTTCCAATATTCTTTCATTACTATCAGGTAAAAAATCTTTTGAAGCAACAATTTTAACACCATTTTTTTCAATTAATGATTTAATTTTAATACCTTGTTTTCCAATAATTGATGATAATTGTGAATTAAGTAATAATAATCTAATATATCCAATATTTTTAAGTTCTAATGGATTTTTAATTTCATTTAAAGAAGGTAATGGTAAAATATGATTTAAAAATGGGAATGGAAATTTTTTCTTTTGCATAATTGAAACGTCATTTTCATCTTGCTCTTTTTCATTATTATAACTTAATAACAATGCTTCAACTATATCACCTAAAGAATTAGCAACGTGATTAATTTTTCCAGTTGATGTTAAAATTCTATCTGAACAACCTGGAACCATTTTAGAAATACCAATTTTAACCTTATTATTATCTCTAATCTTAGAAATTGTATTACCTTTAGAACCGATAATTCTTGATGCTTCATCTAATGAAATAAGTACTCTAATTTCTAAAAACGATTCATGTTCATCCATATTATTTATAATGTTATTAACTCTAAAATTATTTTCCATTATTTGAATCTCTTAAGAAACTAATTAAAGAGAATTCCAATCTTAATAATACAAATGCACACCCTAAAAATAAAAATATAATAATCTGAAGGTGATTCTGTCGTCTATATATATATATGTATCACCTATCACTGACAATTAATTAATTTTTTAATACACGAGTTTTTAATATCAAATAAAAATTAATCAAGTTTATGAATATGGAATGTATTTTAAAACAAAAACTCCGAATATTAATAAAGACAAACAACTTTAATGAAAAACAAAAATAAAATTGTAATCGAATTGAAACAAAATCAAAAAAGAATGAATATGTTAATTGAGTTGATGATATTTTAGAAACCAATGGATATTTAGTAAAAAAGAAAGAAAGAAAGAGAGTAAGTATGTAAATGAATCATTCATAGGTAAAAGAACAAAACAAACTATAAAGTAGCTGTTATTACAATGATCAACATGAAATAGTTCTTGAGATTATTATAAGTTGAAAGAAATATACAATTACAAGAGATCAAAATAGTTTACGTAGTCAAATATTATTATCTGCTGCAACCCGGAGATTATCATTACATGAACCATAGAGAAAATTATGTACCAATTGTGGTACAACCCCATACACACACATATATATGGATAGATATCTCAACTGTACTCGATCTCTTTCCCATTTATGAATATAAAAGTTAGAACTACAAATCCAACAACCACCACCACCACCACAACAACAACAACCGTTCCATGCGTCTTGCAATTATGGTTAGTAGAATAATAGATATGTTTAATGAAAATATTTTTAAGTTAGATTGATGCTCATCGACCAATCAATTGCCACCTTTATAAAATAATAATGGCGTATATAGCCATATTTACAACTCTGGTGTACGTGGATTTAATACAACCCCGGTGTATGCGGAAATAGCGAATTTTTATCAGATGAGGAAGGCGGAATACGGAAGGACGGATGTTTAAAACGCAAAAGAAAATGTTTATAACGTTGAAAGCCAAAAATCAAAGAAACCAATCAAAACAGTTACAGAGCCAGAATGAGACAGTTTGTTCGTGAGCCTTGAAACTGGGATTTTATTTCAATTAGTAAAAAATACGTTTCTTTCTTCCCGCTTTGTGAAGGAACAAACGGAATTTTGTTGCACATATTGTGTGTTTTTTACAATCCGTTAATTGATTAATAAAAATTTTAGCTTAATAATTAATTACTCAGTGGAAAGGTTACCCTAACTAAGCATTTATTTTTAGTGAACTACGGTTTTTCTCTCTCACGCTGTTTGATACTTTCCGTCTTCCATCCACTGCACCCCTGCCCGCGGCACTCTTCTCGCTCTGCCCCCCCACAGTTACAGACCAAGAAACAAAAAAGAAAGCACCGCCGCCGTCAAGTAATTCGCACACCAAATTTTCTTCTCTTATTAATTGCTGACAAATTGCAATACGATAAATATATTATTGCATTTTCTAACTGAGTCTCTCTCTCCCACACTCACTTCCTTTAATAATACAGATATTTGAAATGAGCAATAAACAGCTGGAAAACTACACAGAGAATTCCAAGAAGAGAAAAAGGAACTGAGGTAATGATTTCCATTTCTTTTTCTTTCTGTCCGTCTTATCCGTCTAATATTTCGGTTTGGTTTCCACACACATAACAAGCCACTCTCTCTATCTATCGTTTTTAATTTTATTCACAGTGTAAACCTTCTCACCTCACCTCATTTTTATCACCCCCCGTTAATAATCATTTAATACTTTCTGCCATTTTTGTTTTGCTAACGTAATCAACTTCACGGAAATGAGTAAAATATCTAATATTACAAAAGTCATACACACCCATCTTTTTTTCACTTATTAATTAATTACTTTTCTATCTTTTTTTTTTGCTTTTTAATTATTATATAAATCGTAATCATTTTTTATTTATTTCACTATCCTTTATATTTGTTGAAATATTCAGCGTTTTTCCATTTAATTTTTAATAACATCAGTATTAACAACAAAGTATAAAAAAGAGTTATTATAACTTATAAAAATATACTTTTTATTATTATTGCTATCCTCTGTTTAATTTAAAATTTTACTAAAATATCCCTATATTATCATATACTAAAAACAACAACAAATATGACTGCAACAAAGACTGATTTACCTATTGTTCAATGTATCGCTAGAGCTCGTATACCAACAACACAAGGTCCTGATATTTTCTTACATTTATATGCTAATAATAGAGATAAAAAAGAACATTTAGCTATTGTCTTTGGTGAAGATATTAGATCACGTTCCTTATTTAAGAGACGTCCAGGTGAAACTCAAAATGATAGAATGATTAGAGGTGCTTATGTTGGAAAACTACATCCAGGTAGAACTGTTGCTGATACTGATGATAGATTAGGGTTATCTTTACATTTTGACGATATAACTGGTGAATTATTATATGAATCAAAGACAACTTGGGATCCAAAAAATAATACTTTAGTTAGAATTCATAGTGAATGTTATACAGGTGAAAATGCTTGGTCAGCTAGATGTGATTGTGGTGAACAATTTGATAGAGCAGGTAAATTGATTGCTTGTGAACATGAAAAGGAAACTGGTATTATTGGTGGTGATGGTCATGGTGTCATCGTATATTTAAGACAAGAAGGTAGAGGTATTGGTCTAGGTGAAAAATTAAAAGCTTATAATTTACAAGATTTAGGTGCTGATACAGTCCAAGCTAATCTAATGTTAAAACATCCTGTTGATGCAAGAGATTTTTCCATCGGTAAAGCTATTATAATGGATTTAGGTATTTCTAATGTTAGATTATTAACCAATAATCCCGATAAAATTGCACAAGTTGAATATGAACCATATATTAGATGTGTTGAAAGAGTACCAATGGTACCAATTCATTGGACTAATGAAAATGAGGGTATTAAATCAAAAGAAATTGAAGGTTATTTAAGAACAAAAATTGAAAGAATGGGTCATTTATTACAAGAACCAATAAAATTGCATTCTACAACTACTACAGAGTAATTAAAGAATCTCATTTTATTTTCTTTCTTTCATCATTATAACGTCTTACTCTACCTTTAGTCATTGCATTTTATTAATCACGCCTCATATTTTTTTTGTACTATATTACAAGTCATAAACTTTTAGATTTCAATCTCAACTTCTGTTTTTTATTCTTATTATTATCATCTTATAAACTGAAAAGAAATTTACCATTCAAACAAAGATACACCCCATTTATTTATTTATTTTATATATAGATATACTTATATATATCTAAACAAAGTAATAATTTTTTTATGTACAAATAGCAATTATAAATATAATTTATTCAATTCTAAAGGTATTATGAATATTATTCACTTGCCTTTGTAAAAGGGTATATATTACAACCGTTTATTATTATGTTTTCACTTTGCACTTCAAGGAAAGGACAAAAAAAAAGACAGGAGGATCATACGTAAAATAAGCACAGAGCGAAAATAGAAATTGAAAACATTTAGACACGAAAAAATTGTACAAATTTGTTATAAGGTAAATATATTAACGCATAATAAATATTTGAATTCTCATATATAAAGACATTGAAAGAGAGAGAGATAAGATACAAACAAAAGTTATCACATTCCTGAGGAATAAATATCAACACTTTGGAGTTATATTTTATATATAACTAGTTCTTTGTGAACACTCACCCATTACTAATCATTTTTGGAACCAGAATATCAGAACAGTGCCTGTGCCGCCAATGTCTAATATGAAGAATGATTCGTTAAAGGATCCACAATTTATATCTCTATATTCCACATTAGATGATCCAGAGATAGATATAAAAAAGAAATTGAACCAACTTACAAAATTTAAAGGTCACGTTAAAAAAGAATTTATCAATATAGAAAATATACCCACTTATATCGATGCCCTTTTACTTATTCCTCAAAAATTTAAAGATTCTACAGAAACTTTATTCTTAGGGCATTCATGTCTATGTTATTTAATTAAAAGAATAGCAATTCAATCTCCAGAATCATTGTCATTGCCTCTAATAACAAATTTAATTAATCACATAATAGAGTTACACACTTTAGAAAATATGCAAAATTCATCATCATCATCATCATCACATAATATTAAAAAGTTTTGGCTTTTAACAATCAAAATTTTAGAATCTTGTTATAAGATAAATCCAATATATACCGAAGATTCAATTAAACAACGTTTAGAGAGAGAGGTTGTTGATACGATAGACAAATCCTCAAACGATATTCATATACTGAACAGGATGAAAATTATATTATTCATTATAAATGAATTGTGTCAAATAAAACAAAATAATAATCAGGACCCGATATCATCTTTAAAATTGTTTAACCCTGTCGTACTTAAATTTTTGAATAATATAACCGATCAAAATCTCAATGATAAGAATAATGTTAATAGTATTGTTGAATTACTCAGTGATATATTTAGAAAACATGTTAATCAATCAGATTTTGAAGATTTTGTTAGAAATATTACAAATAACTCAATTAGAAGCATATTTTCGCAGGAATATCAACAACCTGATTCCCATTCTGATAACATATTTGACACAGAGGACGAACTACAATCAATACTCAATGAGGCTAAACCACCTCACCAATTATTGACAAGCAATGCCGATCTATCACACACTCCTTCCTTATTGTATACATCATTAGACCAATTATCAGATGATTTGGAAAATTTACTGGAAACATTTCATAACCCTAAAGAAACAGAACAAAACTGGAAAATTAGACAAAGTAACATTATAAAAATTAGAAATATATTTATTTTAAATGATAAATTAATCCTTGAAGAAAGGACCGAATTTGTTAATATTCTGAAGAACTTAAGTTTTGTCGATTGCATATCTAAAACAGCATTATCATTAAGAACCACCCTTTCACTTAACACTTGTCAACTAATAAAAGATTTAATATTGATGCTAAAGGATGGTCTCACTATTACAATCCTAGACCATTTATTTACCACACTAAAAACACTATTAGCATCCACAAAAAAGTTGTCATCCCAAATGGGTTATTTTTGTATACTCATTATGTTTTTAAATGTAGACTTCCATAGTAAGTTATTCCATGACAGTCTTTTACTTATCAACGAAAAAAATATTATCCAAAGAAATACTTCTGCAATATTATTACGAATTATTTTAATAAAATCTAATCATACATCAAAGCTAGAAACCAATCTTGTTTACATAGAGGAATGGATACGAAAAGGGATATCAGATGCACAAACACAAGTAAGGGAGTCCATGAGGATCACATTTTGGTACTACTATAAAGCTTATCCAGTAAATGCTAAAAACCTACTCAATAACTCATTTTCTACACAACTGAAAAAAGCCATAGAACTTGCTATTCCACAACATCTTGATATCGATTTTAAAAGACAGTATCAAGGCACATTTTCAAATTCGTCTTCTAAGAACAGCTCCCGTAGATCCAGTTTGTTGAGTTCTCATCTCCAAAATAGTACATCGATGAGTCGAAAGTTTCCAAGTTATGCACAACCAACACAATCATCTATTTCTCAAAAAAGTAAATCGGGCATGATTCGTTCAAATAGATCTACAAGCGAAATGACAACTAATACTCGGGGTTCAACAATTGCTGAGGCTGTGGAGAATAAGCGACTCAAGACTAACGATGGTACGATAATCAAAAGAAAAACGAGTGCACCTATATCTAGTAAAATCACACACAACGATACCAATTCGAACCAACTAGATCTTACTGATGAACTCCCTAATCCCCAATCAATATCATTAATTAATAAATACATGGATATGAATGTACCGGACATTAATTCACAAACTAATAAAAAATTGGATACATATCAAAGTAACGAAGTTCTAGATAAACTTTATTCGTATGCAAGTAACGAAAAAGAACCTAGAGAATTTTTACAACTACTACAGAACTACATACTAATACCTAAAAGTAAAATAACCGATAGACTAGATTTCAAAAAAATTACGCCCTCTCTCAAAAAATTAATTGTGAAACAACCATCTGATTTCAAATCATTACTATCTATTCAACTCTTTGTTACCAATATACCCTTATCAGATATCATAATACTATACGCAATAAATAATATAGGACCAACGGAACTTCTTAAAAAACTCGATATTGCAACCACAAACGATACGACCAAGATTTTAAATCATATCGGAGATTTACTCGTTACTTTAACAGTTTCCTCAGACCCCTCAACATCCATATTTTATATGAAACATAGAGGCCTAATTTACAATTTCATTTTAAATGTGTTATATGAATTTTTGTCAGATGATAATACAAGAAAGTTAATTACAGAGGATGCATTCAACAGTATTATTATTAACTTGTTTAAAATGTATGGCAATGAGTTGGATAATCAATTATTTTTTGATCTACTATATAATTGTTATCTTTTTAATGATCAAACATTTATTAAACATTTAAAAGAACTCCAGTTCGTCTCTATCAAATTGAAAATATCAGATGAACTACAGCTAAGGGATAAGAACCTAAAGCTAAATGACATAATTTTGGGCGGAAAAGGCGACGGTGGCATTAGCGATGATAAAGCACCTAAGGATCAAGGTACTGAACATGTTGCCGCACACGATGAATACAATAAACGAGATAACTTAAGTGATAGCGAAGTTGAAGAAAATGACCCAGAAATCAAAAGATATATGGAAATGACGATGGTGAATCCGTTCAAACAACAGCGATCAATTAGCAGTGAAAGTGTTGTTCATAACCCTGAACTTACTGCCAAGGAGAATAACGACCAGAATGTTGAAATCAGCTCAGACCAAACTGGTTTTACAACAGCCAACCCTAGACTGTATGAAATGACAAAAATAGTTAGTGTTTATCAAAATACAGATCGGGCTCATAATATTACGGTAGATCCTGATACCAAATCTGATGATGTAAAAATAAAAGAAGACGAACCCACAGATATGGGTCTCAGTGACATTTTCCAAGATGGAGCTAATAAAATCAAACAAGGAAATATTAGCGCAAACTCAGTCAAAGGTATATTGAATGAAAATAATAATATCAAAACTGAGGAGGATGAACATACTGTCAAATTTACTGATAATTCTCCAGAAATAATAGGAGAAGAAAATGAGAGACCTCCTTTCGATATCAAAGAACTATCTGAGCCAAAGAAATCGATAAAGATAACAAATGCTACAACACCTTCTGTTGTCGATGTTGGAAACGTGACTACTGAGGATTCAAAGGATTATTCATTATCCTTTGTTATTTCTTATCCCATATTACATAAGTTCGAAAATTGCCCTGTTACACAATATGAATTAGCCAAAGTTATTAGTAGAAGAAAACGTCCTCTTCAATCCGTGGACAATCATGAATTAGTAAACACAGATTTGAAACAATTACAAAAAGGTATTAGCAGAATACAAAGTGGGACATTTACAATTAAACATTTAAACCATTTGATCGAACCTTTGGCGACATTTGACTCATCCAATACAGCACTATTATCATGGCTCAATGAAAAATCTGGCTATGATCAACTTTTGTCATTATCTTTGATGTTGTTACAATCGATGGATGAGGCATCCTTGATACCGACAATTATGACACGGAAAGCTCTGCTATTGATCCAATGTATCCTAGCAATCAACGAATATAATGAAAGAAGTATTAATAATTTTGACATTGGTGCTATAAATGGAATATGGACACAGTTCACCATAATGGTTGATAAATTGCTGCATTTTACAAATGAAATATATCTATTAATATGCGAAACGAGATCGACACTAATAAGATTGAATTATTTCAAACCCAAATCAGTTACTAGTATCCTCAGCTCACTGGTTACAGAACTCCCAGAAGATACAACTGATGATGACTATAGAAACGAATTTGACGAAACTAAGATAATAGGTAACTTGTTAACCGAGAACAATATTAGCTATAACGCTATTGATAAGTTAAGGTTGAAAATTGGTTTAAAACAGTCATTCATGATAAGCACAATCATCGGTGTTCTACAAACGAAACCGAACGAGTTCAAGACGTTTCAATTATCAGAAATCATCCAAACAATGTCGTTCTTTGTTAGAAAGACTAATTCTGATTGGAGGTATAATAGTATATCAGTAGCTGTGGAAATCTTCAAGATCCTCTATACTAGGGAGAACAAGAATTTGCAAGAGATTAACCAAATATTTTCATGCTTAGATACGGAAACATATAAACTAATCAGAATTATGGGACAACCTATGTAAGTTAATCTGAAATTTTCTTTTCTTTATGATTCAATTTAATACCTGAATCAGCCAAATAATATCAAAAATCATAAATAAGTCAATAAGTAAGATCTATAATGAAGTGATAATTAGGAATTGCTCTGTGGGTTGCGAATTTTTCATATATTACCTCATCGTATTAGAGTTCCAACAGCGAGACGCGTCAACGAAAGAAAAACATCTAAACGTTCCAGGAAAATAAAAATAATATAGGTTTTCGTGTTAGCTGATAGAAAAAACTGATATAATTCAATTGAGTATATATTCTTTTTTCTGAAAGACTCAAAAGAAGGGGAAGAATAAACTACTTAAATTGATCTAACTATTACTGACAACTAACACTTACCTGTTTCAACAAATTAGCAGTTGGAATAATTAGAAATGGAAATGATTAAAGACAGCGAGGAAATTATAGTCAAATTTGGTAGCGAAGCTAATCAACCTGAAATCATTTTTGGTCTACATAGCCTAGCTAAATTACATGCTATCTCTATAGAAGATTTATACATTAAATGGGAACAGTTTGCTTGTCAGAAACCACATGTTTTGACTAGAGTGACCGTAAAAAGTCTCGAGCCATTTAAGCGCTTCCTACAAGAAGAAATAGAGAAACGTGCAAATTCATCTGTGGGTAATATATCTAACAACAGTAATCAATTATCAGGTCCAAAAAGACCAAAAATGTTAAAGGGGATAAACAACAGTTCCTCGTTATTTGGTTTCAACATTTCTAAAACCCCAATAGCGAATAAGAAGAGAAAATTAGGAGTTTCTAATGATTCACATAACAGCGATAGTTCTATTAAACTTGAGTTCCCTGTTGATGATGTAAATTCCACACCCAAATCAAAAGGCGAAATGAGCTTTGCCCCCATCAAATCAGAATCCAACGGAAACATTTCTCTAACAAAAACTATGTATTCATCTGAAAAAACTGGCAAAATAATGGACTCATTGAACCCGGAAAATATGGAAATAGCCGAAGGATATACTCTAAAAGAAGATGATACTATTGATTCACATGTTAGAATCCAATTATTAAATGATCCTGAGAAATATAAGTTCAGAACAATGAGACAAAACCTAATTGAATGTTCTGATGTACTAGATGAGCAAATTGAACTATTTACTAAATTCGTTAAAGAACATTTAAACATTTCAGATGCTGAATTTGGTGATCCAACCATCCAATCACAGGCTGATGTATATGCAATTGGAAGAATAGTACCAGACTCTCCCCAATACGACGGGTTTTTAAACACAGAGTCTTTAGCATTAGAAACATCGAGATTAAATGGTATCGGTAGGAGAGTCCGTCTAAATCTTGAACAAGTTAAAGAAGTTTCCCTATTCTGTGGCCAAATTGCTGTTCTGAAGGGAAAAAACGCAAATGGGGATTATTTCCTGGTCGACAAGATTTTGGATATACCATACCCTGATTTCCCACTGAGCTCTTCCGAAGAACTTTCAGAATATTCCGATTTAATGAATAAAAAATCTTCAAAGGTTATCATTACTAGTGGACCATATATCCCAGATAATAGTTTTGATTTAAGTTATTTGACTAACTTTGTTGAAAAGATAAACAGTGAAATCAGGCCACATATTTTAGTAATGACAGGACCCTTTATCGACATTACTCATCCGACGGTTATGTCAGGCAATATACCACATTTTGATAATTTAAAGGCTCAACCTGCTACATTGAACGAATTGTTTGTAAAATTGATTTCACCGATATTGAAAAAAATCAATTCTTCAATCCAGGTAATCCTTACCCCCTCGACTAGAGATGTTATGTCTACACATGCATCTTATCCTCAAGACTCCTTCGATAGAAAGATTTTACAATTACCTAAAAATTTCAAGTGTTTTACAAACCCTACTACATTCCAACTCAACGAAACGTATTTTGGAAACTCTAATGTGGATATATTTAAGGATATGAAAGAGGTTACAAAAGGTGGGGAAACTACAATGTCAAACAGATTTGATAGAGTGGCACAACATGTACTGCAACAACGTCGCTATTATCCTCAATTTCCCGGTTCTATCAAGAAAATGACAATTGCCAAGCCTAACTCGAAGGACAGTAAAAGTGCAGACTCTAAAATCTATAAACATATTTCTGGTGCTGACCTTGAAATAGCATACCTAGGTTTGACCGAATTTGTTAGTAATATTACTCCTGATATAATAATCATACCAAGTGAGTTACTCCCATTTGCTCGTGTTGTAAAAAATGTAATCATGATAAATCCTGGTAAATTTGTTAAACCTAATGGGGCTAACGGGACGTATGCACAAATCTCAATAAGAAGTCCTAATGTTAATGATGGTTCATTGACAGAAATACCCGGAGAAGAAAATTTATACCTTCACAACGTTTGGAAGAGATCAAGAGTAGATATTGTGACAAATTGAATATATAAAAATAAGTATAAAATAAATAATTCTGTAAATGCTAAAAACACTGAGAACGAAAAATATGTAGCCATTTGGTGATAAAGAAAAAATTTAAGACGTAATAAAAAAGGAAAAGAATGTAAATGACTTCATATTTTTGATGGTGACAACAGCAAATATTTCAAATTTTGTTTTTCAATTTACTAAAAATTCCTTTCTTTTTCTTGCTATCTTCTTCAGGAATTTTTTTTCTTTCATCATTCAATCTTTTAACCTTGTGCATCGGTGGAGTTTCTGGCTTTGGAATATGAGTTTTATGCGAAGGATCATTCTTTTGTGACCTTCGTTTCAGTATTGTTGATGACTGCCTTTCTGTATTCGTTACGTTCCGCAAAACATTCTCACGCTTCTCAGACTTTTCTAAAGACCTATCCAATTTAGCGTTTTTTGTTTCGATGTTCCTGTAGTTTCCTTCTCCAGATAGAGCTGCCATAGCCGCTGTAGCTGCCAAAGAATTTGGTGATACAGAGGGCATATGTGATGTAGAACTGAGACTGGCAGATCGATGCTCACGTTGTTTCCCATTTTCTCTTAAGGTTTCTGGGAAATGAGTTTCATTCATTTCATGATATTTAGCTGAGGTGTAGACCTCTGGCGGAGGGTACTCTATTTCTTCATGAGGGGTATGATGTGGTTTCAACTTACCAATGAATTTTTCCATTGATATTATGGAATTCCTATGCTTTGCTTGGGTTTCGTTAACAGTTTCCGATTGTGGCATATCCTTCATAGGAGTGGTCTCATCCCCAGCCTTAATATTGATAGATCTTTGTATTTCAATATGAGGTTGTGTATCAGTTGGTAATGTAGTTCCCCGTCTTCGAGAGTGTAAAACACCAGTCTTTCCTTCATTGATACTAGTTGACGTTCCAATTGCAATTGCTTGCGTGGATTTTGCTAAACTAGCATTTATTGGAATATTATCCATCAATTTGTTATTTCTCGATGAAACCACAGCAGCAATACTCACGGTATCATACTTTTCCGTTTCTCTAGTCGTGTTTCTTTTACTGATGCTTGAATTTGCATTGTGCCTCTGAGTAGTACAGACTTTATATATGACGACGAGCAACAGCAGAGATAATTGCTCTAAGCCCATAATGACAGGTATGTTTGATTTTGTCTCTAGGAATGAATTTAAATAACGAATACCTCGTGCAGTTTTCGAACCCAAATTTGTTGATGACATCATTTGTTGTGGTCTGTGATGATACATTAAGGATGCTAAGGGACTAATAATTGTTCCTAACCATGTGGTAATTTGAAGAATGACATCCCAAGAACCAAGAGATGAATGATGTTGCGTAAACAATTGGAGTGGAGCAACCAAATTATTTGGGATTGAAGATGGAGTACACTTATGCAAACTCCTTACAAGATCGGCTCTGAAAACAACTAAATTAAATGTCAAATAAACCAATGGAGTCAATGGCCATATAGTCGAAAAGAGCATCACAAATCCAAGTTGAAGAATTAATTTTTTCATATTTTCATCGACATCAAAATTTCCCCATACATTATCCTTATAAAATTCACCTTGTTCCCAATATTCAATCTCTGATGGGTTTACGTTCATAATATGCAATTTAGTGAGTGATTGTTTTGAAGTTGGTTTGTTCGAACCCGTTATGAATTGGGTAACTTTATTCAAAATAATTGGTAAAATGTTATCCATTGTCAATAAAATTATTTGGTTAGTAATGGTAAAATAAATTATTTGAGCATTATGACGATTTTTGTCTGCAATAAAATCAGTTTTTTTTAATGGTAATGTATATTCCTTCATTAATTGAGGTCTAAATTCGTTACTCCATTTTTTTGCAAATACTGAACCAAATGGATAATATAAAAATAATGTAATCAATAAGGGTGAAAAATTCATTAAGAATAAAAATGGTATATTTTTTTCCAATTTTGAACTCTTTGGAGCAGGTCCATTCTCTAATGTCACAAATGGATTGACAAATATTAGATTATAGACGGCTAACAATATTGGTGTGAGCACTGACAATAATATTGGTGGGATTAAAGAAAACACACCTATATAATTACCATCATATAATTGTGTGACAAATATTTCTAATGAAAAACATGATAATTGAAGGAAGACTAATCCGATCATGAACACTAATACAATGGGTACAAAAATAATTTTTTTTAATAGTATTGACTTATGAGAACTTTCATTTCCTAATTTATTTTTGTTTACAATATCAGTAAACGATATCTTTTGAGTTTGATACAATTTACTAACATAATATGGCTTCCTATAATAAATCCAATTAATTGTGAAAAAAATACTCCATAATACAATACTCAACGTATATGACAAATTAAATTCCGATTCTCTACTACCGTAGTAAAACCTGAAGCCTAAACCAAGAATACCTGCAACGAACAAAGATTTCATATAATATGTAAAATATATGAAATATAGACCTAGATCTGGGTCACCGCTCAATGTAGTTAACGCAATCAATTCCTTTTCATTTGGTGTTTTTAAGATATTTCTCAATATGTTTCTAACGTAGTAATTAATTCGTTTTTGGGTTGATTGATCATATATTGGTACTACTTTCTTAATATATTTCAAATTTGTTATGACATCAAACAAATCAAGTAGTCTATCTTCAGTTGGATCTAATCTTACGTACGCATAGCCATCGTCCTGATTTACAGTAGTACTTCCAAAGGCGGGAATTTTTTCAGTTTGTAATTTATTAAGAAGGAGTTCTTGATTGGTTCCCTTATTTTCAAAATATATGATAAAATTTGGATCCAATTGTTTCAGTGACACATTCATAATTATTTTCAGCAGTAAGGTAACGTCTGGTGAGTTCTGTTTGGTCTAGCAAAAGAAATAGTAAAGATGCTTCAATGTTTCAAAAAGAGCAGAAAATATGTTCCTAATTTTCCATTACTCTTAGTCAATTTATGAATTTATCGTTGTTCAATTAATTAATATATTTATATACTTTGGTGATTATTCCGATAAAGGTTCCCCAAAGGCCTGTCTTTATGCCTTCTTTAGGGTAGCCCATCATCCCCTTGAAATTTCCAAATATATATTTCAGTATGTATCTCTTTTTCCGGTGCGTCACTTTCTGTGTAATTTATGTGTTTTCTTGTTCCCTTCCGTAAGATTTATGTGACATCGGAATTATTGCCTTTAAAGAAAAGTGAAAAACTTCAAATAAGAAGCAAACAGACCCTTTGAAGATGGTACATGTTTCACATTTCTTGCATTAGGATGTTACGTCCTACAGGATACGTTAGATTTAAGGTTTAGTGATGTTTATAAGTGACATGAGCGATATTAATCGATGGATTGACATAATTGACCCTTAAATATGGGAAAGAACATTGAATTATTTCCAGGCGTTAAATGAGAAATGCCTTTTCTACTGCCCCAGCATGTTAAATGTTACATTCTTGAAATTCATCGTTTTTTATAACCTTTATGTATTTAAATTGTTCGTAATTACTACGTTGAGGATATCACTTATATATGCTTTTTTACTTATTTATTTGTTGATTGCAAAAATGATACAATTAACAATATATTGTGCCAATGGTCCGCCTGTTGTAGTTTTACAAGTGATATTTACTTTCCCTGTCTCTAAACAGGATAACTTCAATAAACAACCAAAATTACCATCTGTCTTAGTATGAATAATACCGGCAAGAAATAATGTTTGTGATAAAGCAGTTTGTTCCACTATATCGAATCCCATTCTCATTAAAATATTTATCAGCTTTTTAAGGTTACCATCAGGAGTCTCGTTCTCGAATAGATTCACCAAAATATCATTAGATTGATACTCACCATCTTTACCCATCGCATCACTTAATGTTTTCCAACGCTTAACAAATTGAGCTAATGTTACAGAACCATTAGTACTTAACGTACTAGTAACACCTAAACCCATTTTCAAATTCAATGTATTCATACTACCACCACATTTGAAATATATACTAGCAATCGGAGCTTCATTACAAGAAAAAGGTTTTCTTATAACAATTTCAAATCTTTGTTCGACTTTATGGTGTGGAGCAATCATTGGATTCTCAGGGGGTTGTATATTTTGTAAGAAATATTCTGGATTATTACTTGTACGTGAAGCTATTATTTCACTCGTTAATGAACTGATTTCCCATTCAGTTTGATTCGCAAACGTCAAAATAATTTCGAGCTTTGTTGGATCAAGCACCACAATTTTATACAAAACCTTTAATAATGGCGAAGATAATAAGATACCTTGTCTAAATTGAAACATTCTTGATGACCCTTCTCTCCAATTATTTGATAATTTGAGTTCGTTATACTTTGAGTCTAACGTGGAATTTCTGTTTAACATTTCTGAAAACGTTGAAGATGATCTTGTCTTTCTTGCTGGAGGAGGACGTGGGACTGCAGTTACATCTGTTCCTTGTGAAGTTGTCTGCAATGCATCATTATTATCCGATCCATCATTTGAGTTATTCTTCCATATCATACTTGAACTTCTACTACGACTTGAGGATAATGCTGTTGTTGAGGATGATGCGATCGGCAGACTACCCAATCTCTTTAGTAGTGGGTTCGATTTATTATTAAATGGAGGTAATGGTTGCAACAACGTATCTAATAAATGTAGATTTTGATTCATCTTAGATATTTGAATTAATTTAAGGTATTCATATGAACGTGTTTGTAACTCAATATCTAAGGAATTTAATTCTAATTGATAAAATTTGATCACTGCAGAACCAATACCAGGTTGACATCTATATAATTTTATCATAGTCGTAAGTATCATTGCTTTAGTTCCATTTTGAACAGTAAAATACTTTTCGGTAAACATATTAAATAAGTCAGCAATTGGAACTTTTTCTGCTATCAAATTTGTGTATTCTCCTATTATAAATGCAGCCACTTTAACAATATATTCAGAGGTCAGATTAGAACGAAGATATTCTACCAGCTTCTGGCACGTCAAGGTTTGCAGTTGAGGGTTATTTACAACAATTTGACATAATCTTCTCCAGATCTCTTCATCCTTTGAAGAGGTATTGACAGACAATGATAATATCTTTAACGAAATATTGACATACCAACTTGGATCCGTTGAAAAATTTTCTGTTAAGATCGCAGCTTTAATTGCAATATCAGATTTAAGATGTGGGTCCGATAAATGCTTAGATGTCAGTATGAAACTTAATAGTTGTTCAACAATAGTCTTAACATTATTGATATCTGCGAAAGTGTATAACAAATCAACAACCTTTCTAATAATTGAAGAATCTCTTTCACTATTCAATATATGAAAAATAAGGTCTAAATTTTTACCACGAATACTATCAAATGCTGTCTTCCCACTGAAAGAACACAATCTAATTAAGGAATCCAAAGTTAAGTAACGAACATTGATATCATTTGAATTCAAAAGTTCACATAAAGCAGTTGCTGAATTAACAATAGCTTCATGAGATGGATCTAATTTAGAGGCAAAATTTATCAAGGAAAAAAGGATTGTATTCTGAACTATCTTTTCCATTGGATCAGAAGTTCTCCTTGTACCCAAATTGATAGTTTCCATAACACACATTCTTAGTCGCCCCAAGGTCTCTGGATCAATATTATCTGTATGCAGTAAACTTGATTCAAATAAACCATTATTGTCCTCTGTTTCAGATGGCGATATTATAAGAACATTCAATAATGATACAATTTTAGTAATTAACCACGGGTTTGGCATATTTGCAAATTTATATTCATCTGGAAATGATCCTCTTCCATTGTTAGATCCACCTGTTACCACACATTTGTATAATATATCACTTAATTGTGGAATTAACCTTATAAAAAATGAAGGATCAATGTTTTTTGCAATGTATTCGACTAAGGGTAATGTTGTGAGAGTTAATCTATAGTTATCTGTATCATCCAACAAACTTAAAATTCTTTGAATCCATAATTGTTTACGTTGAATGTCATCTGCTAGAATTGAATTTTTACTTTTTAATAAGGTTAAAAATGCCAATGTCGATTTCTTTTTCAAATACAAGGATGAAGTTGGTGACCTTAATATTTGAAAGACTCCTGATACTAAGTCTTGATTCGATGCAAGATCTTTAGTTAGAGTCCCAGTAACACCAACAAAATTTAATCCTAATTCTGTAAAATCATCTTTAGAACTTGAAATATCTTTTATAAGTTGTGTGATAACCTGATCATTAACTCTTTCGACAACAATTTTATGTCTATATAAAAGTTCCAACGTCATATATCCTATAAATTTTTCAGAAAATACATTGGATTTAATTAATTTGATTACTTCATCCAAACCGAAAAGAATATCATTAAGCATAGTGGTGTTTGATGTAATGTATATATATGCCAATTTGGCAACATATTTTTTCCGTTGATACCCATCAAATTTATTATTATTCAGTATATGTCCATTAGATGTACTTTTCTTATTAGAAGCATTAAAATGTTGTTTTATCTTTACAATTTCGGAATGAATCCTCTTCAGTTGATCTTCTGATTGTTGTGATGCTCTTAAATCAGCAATAAATAACTGCAAACCCTTTATATTACTACCAGTGTTGGAGGCGGTTGGTTCTGCAAATGTCTTTCGACGATCCATTTTTAGTGAAGTATATCTGAGATTAAAGTCTAAATAGTATCCTTAAAATGAAAAATCCACGACAGGAATTGATACGGATAATGAAAGTGTGGGATATAAGCAAATTAGTATTACTATAGCTTGTCTCAACCACGTACACACAAATGATCTAAACACTGTTGTTATATATACAGTAGCTCTTGTAACCTTTTTGAATGTTTTTTTACGGAAGTCTGTTCAACAAATGTGAACTTTCAATCCTATTTATCCATTCATATTATAAATGGTTTAACTAGCTTTATTTTCTATTCTGGACAGGAGCAACTTTAAACTGAAAATTGGAAAATCTCAAAATGAGTGAAACGCGAACCGAGAAACAATAATATTAAATAATGATGATCTTTCCATAATTAATGAACGCGATTTAAGCAATCATGCATAAGAACAGTTCTACCTTAAAGACGAAATAAAAACGAATATATATTGAGTAGGCTACCAAGAATTCATTAAATTTGTTTCTCATTAAGAATATAAAAAGAGTGACTGTGGCTATATTTTTAGTTTTATTTTATTTTTGATATTATCACGCAACAAGAAAAATGTCCCTGTGGGTTGATAAACATCGCCCAAAGACTTTAAAGTCTCTAAACCATTCAGATGATTTAACTCATTTCTTATTATCGTTATCTCAACAACCAAAAGATTTGCCTCATTTACTACTTTATGGACCAAACGGTTCTGGGAAGAAAACCAGATGTATGTCATTATTAGCTGCACTCTTTGGCCAAGGTGTCTATAGATTAAAAATTGATGTAAGACAATTTGTTACACCTTCCAATAGAAAACTTGAACTAAACGTTGTTAGTTCTCCATACCACTTAGAAATAACGCCAAGTGATATGGGTAACAATGATAGAATCGTTATACAAGAATTGTTAAAGGAAGTTGCCCAAATGGAACAAGTTGATTTTCAAGATTCAAAGGAGGGACTTGCTCATAGATATAAATGTGTTGTCATTAATGAAGCTGATTCATTAACTAGAGATGCACAAGCTGCATTGAGACGTACTATGGAAAAATACTCTAAAAATATTAGATTAATCATGGTTTGTGATTCTATGTCTTCCATTATTGCACCAATCAAGTCCCGTTGTCTCTTGGTACGTTGTCCAGCACCTACCAATTCAGATATTGTTAGGATATTAAGTGAAGTGGCCACCGAGGAGAAAGTCGAATTAGAATCGGGAATGATCTTAAGCAACATTGCAAAAGAATCTGATGGTAATTTAAGAGTCGCTTTGTTGATGTTAGAATCGATGGCATTGAGCAGTGAAATGAATTTAAAGAACAACACTAGTTTGATAAAGCCAGATTGGAAAGTTGTTATTATTAAAACAGCTAATAAAATTCAAAGAGAAAGATCAGTGGGATCTCTTGTGGAATGTCGTACAGTATTATATGACCTGTTATCACATTGCATTCCTGCGAAAGTTATATTACAAGAATTAATGAATTCATTATTAGCAAGCACAACTTTAAATGATACTGTCAAGATTAATATCGTGGAAGCATCCAGCACATTTGATGAAAGACTTTCCTTAGGTAACAAAGCTATATATCATTTAGAAGGGTTTGTAGCGAAAGTTATGTGTATCATTGACGGACAATGAATGCATAGCACTTCTCAACTACAATATATCATAAATAAGAATATCGATCATGAATATATAAATATTATGAAGATTTATACATGAGTGCATATGCGCTATATATACAAGTATATGGATATCAGTGTAAACACAGGAAGTGAAATAAAGTAAATAAAAGACTATTATCTGATAGAATAAAATTTAGCCAATTACTAACGACCCCTGTATAATCTATATTGATCTTCTTGAGATTTCAGAATGTTTATACGTTTTTTGATTGATCTTTGAGATAATTTGGATAATGGATCTACTTTAATCTCCCTTTTAGGATTTGTTTCTTTAAAATCGTTCAAACCAACCCTAATAGGTGATTCTCTGGATACAAATTCAAATACACCGGGTAGTTTTGTGCCAGCTTTTCTAAAAGCTTCACGAGCCACTCTTTCATGAAGATTATCACCATACATTTCAAATAGAATTTTACCTGTCGGGACACGAACCATCCAATGATCAAACGCACCTTTACCTTTACCCATTCTGGTCTCATTACCTTTGATACAAACAGCAATATCTGTAACAAGACGCCTCCATAACATACCATTGTTCAAGGGTCTAACATATCTCATCAAAGCATTATCTGCCTCTTTCAATTGCTGTGCTTTCATCCTTGTACCTTCGGACTTTAAACGAATACCATATGTACCAAATTGTAGAGTAGAACCTTTTGTTGAACCACCTGTACGTACAGCAACTCTTCCTTTTTGTTTCTTACTTTGAAATGTAAATCTCGGAGCATACTCGTGTGTCCATCTAACTGACGTCTTCAATAATTGAAATACTGGTTGTTTAACATGAGAAAGATCAGAAGTTCTAAACATTGTGTTAATAATAAAATGTATCAATCGTTGATAATCTTTCCCTTAATCCCTTTTAATGATTGAATTGGTTACACCTCTTATCAAACTGGTTTCTTTTAATTGGGAAAGTATATTTTGAAGGGAAAGTTCAATTATTTGCAGTTTCTTCTTCGGGGAACTCGGAGACTCATCGTGCTAAGCGATAAAATTCCAACCCCCAATTCCAACCCTAATAAATAACGGAGATATTAAACATCAACGACTACTGATAAATTACTTAACCTTAGATGAATCTCGACTGACAAATATACAAAAATCAAATTCATTTCGATTGGAAACTCGGTGTCTAGTAATTAATACCATACAAAATAGTCACGTACGCCTTTGTTAAAAAGATGTACAGCGTAACCAGAATATGTGCGGTGAAACGCACTCCCAGTCTTTTCCTAAGATGCAAATCTACCAATGCCGACCAATTTATAACAATCAATAATAAAACCTACAAGAGTGATCCTGAGTTTACAAATGTTACACCTTCGATTATTTCCCATGTGAATAGATCTTTACATAAGAAGCCCAACCATCCAGTAAATATTCTCCGTGATTTAATTGAAAAGAAACTTTCATCTGTAGATGATGCCTTCACCACATACAACAATTTCACTCCTGTTGTTAGCACTTTCGAAAATTTTGATTCTTTAGGGTTCCCAGCTGATCATCCAGGTAGATCAAAGTCTGATACATATTATGTTAATGATAAGACATTATTAAGAACACACACATCGGCTCATGAGATGGAATGTTACAACAAGGTTGACTCAACTGGTAAGCCTGGTTTCTTAATTTCAGCAGATGTATACCGTCGTGATGAAATTGATAAAACACATTATCCAGTGTTCCACCAGATGGAAGGTTGTAGAGTATGGAAAAATCGATCAATTGATGAAATAAAATCTGATTTAAAAGTATTACAAAAGAAATTGGATGAGCATGAAATGAAATTAATCGTCGAAGATCGATCATTAGAGAATACACCAGAAGAGAATCCAAAACAACAATATATGACCGATCAAGAAGTCGACTTGGTATCACAACATCTGAAAAGGTCATTGGAATTAGTTATTAGTGAAGTCTTTAATCAAAAGATTAACAGTATGAAAAAAGAAAAAAATTCTGAGAATATTCCCAATGAGTTAAAAGTTAGATGGGTTAATGCATATTTCCCATGGACTACCCCTTCTTGGGAAATTGAAGTCTGGTGGAATAACGATTGGTTAGAAGTTTGTGGTTGTGGTATTGTGCAACAACAAGTTTTATTAAATGCCGGCTATGAGAAGGATAGTACAATATCGTGGGCATTTGGTCTTGGCCTTGACCGCATTGCTATGTTGTTGTTCGAGATTCCCGATATCAGATTGTTGTGGTCAGAGGATAATCGCTTCATTAGTCAATTTACAGATGGAAGTATCAATACTTTCAAACCATACTCTAAATACCCTGGGTCTACCAGAGACGTAGCTTTCTGGTTGGCCGATTCTTCTAAAGATTCTATAGAAATTCATGAAAATGATCTAATGGAAATTGTCAGAAATGCAGCTGGAAGTTTAGTGGAAAGTGTAAAGTTGATCGATCGTTTTCAAAATCCAAAAACAAATAAAACATCTCTTTGTTACAGAATCAACTATCAATCAATGGATAGAAATATCACAAATGATGAAGTCAATCAAATTCAAAAACAAGTCGAAACTGAGCTAGTTGACAAATATCACGTCTCTTTGAGATGAATACCTTGTATATATTGTACCAATAAAAATTGTAAATAAATACGATTATAATTTTAAATAAGATGACAGAAAAGTTATATCCAAGTGTATACCGTTTTTGATCCATTCTTTGCTTTTTTTTGCAGTGCCACAAATGGACGTATTATTAAATTGTCTTTAAGATGTTTGTTGGATATATATGTGTATAACATTATATGTATATGATCTCCATATTATTCCAGAGTAGGATGTGCTATAATTGTCGCCTTCACTTGGTACCAGACAGTACCTCTTGATAATTTGTAAGGATTTTCTTTTGCGTTATTAAATGAATCATCAGTAACAAAGTACTTTTCCATGTCAGTAATTTTACCGATAAACCATTCTTCATCACGTAAATTCCCTTGGTGCTCTTTGTTAGAATAAAAATATTTTATATCCTTCTCAAACGCTGTAAATGCTGCCCAAGGACGTACTTTTTTACGTTCTTCTAATAAGGTCTTGTCTGATATCTTCGTAAGAGTTCCTAAATTAGATTTATCTTCACTATTCCTAACAGGAGGGGGTGTCGAAATATCAATCGAAGAAAAGGAGGAGTTTAATGATGAAATAGAATATCCGTGATCTAGAGTATGTCCGTCACTAGTAGGCAAAAACAACGCTGTATCTCCTAGTTGAAAATCCTTAACTGTAATTTTCTCAGCCTGAAATCTGTCGAGCAAAAGTTTCTTTGATTTTACTTCTTTAGTCATTTTCTTGGCTAATAATTCGACGTCATTAAATCTTCTTATAACAGAACTCTCATACAAACCATTGTCGTAAATACGTTTAAGAAAATCTAATGCTTCTTTTCCAAGTACTATATTTCCGTTATTTTGTGTATCTTGATAGAACTTCTGAACCGAACGATAAACCGAACTTTGAATGGCTTTATCGGGAATTGTAGTACTATTATCATCCAATACCATGGAACTACGATTCGAGAAACTTTTATCCATACTCTTTTTCAGTCCCTTCACTCTCTTGATTGAAAAGTTCTCACTAGAGAGTCTATCGGTGGCAGAGCTGTCGTCATTATTAGTCATATCTTCATCCTTTGAGACAAGCAATAGGCCAATATTTTCTAGAATATAAATGTTCCTTTGGAACATTTGGAAAATTATATTTTGTAAATTCTTGTTTTGCAATTGTAGCTCGGTGTTGACTACAGACTCTGGTATCTCCCAAGCATCTGTTTGAGTGCCAATATTTTGTTCACAACCAGAAGCCTGAACAGACACGTTACAAATATCTCTATCCATATGTTCCGATGCAGAATGCTCCTCTGACTCATTTTTACCTTGCTTTAATTCTTCTATTTCTTTTTGTAATTTTTGTCGTTCCAAATCCCATTGCTCTGATGCAGTAGCTTGACGTCTAATCGTGACTTCATGTTCTTCTTTGATACATGTCAGTTCATTCTTCAAACTAGCAACCTGATTGGAATATACAACATTTTGTTCAACTAATTTTTGTATTCCTTCTTTATACTCCAATGCCTTCTCTATACTATCTTTTTCAAATTCTTCCCGAAGTGTGGTTAATCTGAATAGTTCCTTATTCAGGTGATTCAATGTTTCCCTACATGCATTAGTTTCTAGTTGTAAGTCTGTTAATTTTAAGTTTTGTTTATTAATCTCCCGTTTTTGATCTTGTTCAACCTTTCTCAATTTATCTATCTCTTCTTTTGAGCTAGATGACACATTCTTCTTGCTTTCTGGTTCGGTAGATATTACGATGGGAAGTTCGTTAATTGATGTGGATGGTAATTCTGTATTTGAAGGTCCATACATATGAAAGGGAGAAGAAATAATCCCTGTCGGCCAATGTTGACTATTATTAATATATGTATCATGTAGAACGGACTCTAATTTCATTACACGGTTTCTATAATATTTGATTCGATCTTCAGGGTTTCTAAAACTTTCCATGATATTTTCCGATAATGTTGCACTTAGGTAATTAACCTCCTGAAGTTTCTTTCTTAATACGATATGTACATCACTTATAATATCCAACCCTGTTAATTTTTGTAAGTAATCGTTTAATGTTTGAAGTATACGTTTCGTTTCATTCTGGTGTTTCGGAATTATAACATTCTCTATATCTGAAAGAAATTGGTTACTTATTATCATTTTTTTTAATTCAGTAAAATCATTTATACCAGTAACATTGTCTGTAAATAAAGATGCCACTAGACCATAAAGACTGGCCCAATCATCTCTTGCACTCTTTTCTTTATCGGTTTGAACAGAAAGTCCACGAATAAAAGATTTCAAATCATTTAAAACTCTTAAAAGCCACAGATTTCTACGATACAATTCTATCATGTATAATCCGTATATGAAAGGTATATCTTCTACTTGTGTGAATTGCTTTAAAGTGTCCTGATATATTTTCAAATTTGTATTGCAACTGTTTAGAAGAATTTTTTTCATCTTCAATATTTCAATTTGCGAGAATGATATTTGTCCCAGTATTATAACCGTTTGTTCTTGTAAAGAATGTTTTAATAAAAGAAAATCTTCGACTTTGGTATATAAAGCCTGAGAAATAATATATAATTTGCTTACAGTTGATTTATGGTTAGTTTCTATTATATTTGTCACAATATTCTCGATATCTTCTATTGAAAATTCTTCGGATTTCTTATCTAGAATTGATCTACTTTCTGATTTTATATCATTCATTAATTCAGTAAATTTTAAAAGCATTTCATCTTCAAGTTCATATTTATCATTTGATGGAGTAAAACGAATTTCTACATTTTGTATGCTTTTTAAAATAATGTTTCTTTGTGAGAAATTTGTATCAATATCATTCTTAACATCAATTAAATCTGAATTTACTTTGCTATCTAATTCTTTTATCGTTTCAAAATCAGCATCAAGTTTAGTCTTGTTTACGTATTGTTGCATGGTATTCTTGTTTAACGCTTTAAGATTATTTAAAATCTTACTGTAATAATGAATCCATTTAGAATCATTTTTCACGCCAGATAATTGTTTTAAAAACGATACATTAGAATTGTATAATTCTTCAACATCAAATGTATATTTTTTCAAATATTGATCTGCCATAAATAAACATTTTATAATACACAATATATCATCAGATATATCTCTGATTAATTGTTCCAAATAATGAACATCGATCTCTAATGCACTTAACCAACCAATATTTGTCACTAATGAAGTAGTTATATTATGATATGATTTGGAATCAGTACCTTTAAACTTCGTTTCCATTAAGGGAGACGGCACTGGTCGTATTAGAGCTAATTCTGTAGATAGAATATTTTCTGACACAATACTTTTTACAATCTTTCTAGAATTAGTTATTAAATTTTCATCAGATGAAGGCGATGATGTTTCTTTTGTTAGCTCACTTGCGGGATGGTCCCCTCCATCTGAGGTTAAAGTTGGTTTATTGACCAAAGAAAATAAGCGCCGATCATAAACATAAAATTCTTTCTGTAAAAATATTGAACTTGCAGTATTATTATTAGCGTTTGTTCCCTGATAGAATGTTTGTAATTCGGAGTTATTAAATGACAAATAACTTTCAAAAGTTGATTGTTTTAGTTTTGTACCATAAGGAAGTAAGATCAAAATTTGTTCTGTTGGTATACCCCATTTTATATTAATAAAATCCTTCAAGTTATTATATGAGGTAAAATACCTAATATTAGTTGATATACATTTCCCTGATATTGCATTAATTATCCTAGTATCTTCAGACATGTGTATATGATCTAAAAAATATTGGATATATTAGACGTTTCATCTATTTATTAGACGTGTCAGCGGGGTACAAATAACCTTTAGATTGGTATATTCTCTTAAGAAATTTTAGAATATTCCTTGTCTGGATAAAGTTGTACCAGAGAATAAACAAATAAATGAAAAAAAAAATGTTCAAGTTTTATTAATCGATGTAACTTTATGTTTAAAAAGTATTCATTCTTAAAGGATGCTTACAAGAGAGATGAGCCCTTCAAATGGCAAATATAATAAAAGGGTGTCTCCTACAGAGAAGTTCAAATTCCATATGAACTTTTCCTTTTCACTTTTCCGCCCGCTTTAACTCAAACAATACCCTAAACTCATTTCCCTCTACGAGCTTTTCTGAATGATATTAGTTTTTTCATGCTCTCTTTCTGTCTCTTAGGCTGTTTAGTTCAGAGTTACTAATGAAATGAAATATTTTCAGATTATACAATTTGATGATATAAGTTTGACAGTCATTCTTTCAATGTTGTTAGTTGAATTGACTTTGACTCGGTCATAGACTATCGTAGAATTATACATCTGTATATACACACATATTTTGGTTTCCCCATGACGATACATTATAAAGAACTCGATATAAATAATATTAGATATTTCACAAGGTTGAAGGAGCTAATTGATGCAGATCTCTCTGAACCGTATTCAATATACGTGTATAGATATTTCTTAAATCAATGGCCCGAATTGGCCTATTTGGCCTTTGATAGTGAGTCCACAGATGATTTACCTATAGGTTGTATCATATGTAAGAACGAAATACATCGAAATTCGAGAATGAGAGGATATATTGGTATGTTAGCAGTACAGAAAGAATTTCGTGGACAAGGGATTGCAAAAAAACTTGTTGGTTTAGCCATTGATAAGATGATCTCTAATGGTTGTGATGAGATTATGCTTGAGACTGAAGTTGAAAATATGGCTGCATTAAATTTATATGAAAGATTAGGATTTATTAGAATGAAAAGGATGTTCAGATATTATTTAAATGAAGGTGACGCATTTAAATTGATTTTACCGATAACAGAAAGGAGCAGTATACGGTCTACTTTCCTCATGAATCAAGATCCTATGGTTGAATCTAATACACAATCAAATCTAATTGTCTAGACCACGATACATTTTGAGGGCTTCTGAAAGAAAAAGCATTTTTTTCTTTGGAATGAGACTTTTCTATGATTTAGAAAAGGAACGTGATGTTTTCATATTAGGTTGCATTTCAATCTTTTATATCTCACGTAATCTGGTTATCAATACATGGTCCCAGGCCTTAAACGCTGTTATTTTCAAATAGAACATACTTATATTTATATATAATGTGAACGCTTCAATTTAAAATTTGATATATTACAATAATAAGTATTTATGATAGTTGTATTGCTGACACTACATGAATATCCTTTTTTTTTTAATCATTCTGTTTTGTTTTTTTAATTATTACACAGTGTATATCCTTTCTTAGCAAGCGTCACAAAATGATTCTCCTAAATTAGCAACGATTATTATTGAAAATAGATAAATATGTAAAGACTACAATTTTGTAAGTTGATCGTTGGTTATCTCAAGACAAACACAAAGGAAATATACACAAACCTGAAGGTTATTGCAATGACTAATTCTTTGCCGCTTCATAATAACCAAACTCTCTTAAACCAAAGACCATCAAATGATGATGAATATGATAGGAAAAATTCAACTTCAAGTGCTACAACACCACATCATGGGAAGGATTATATCGAACAGAGAAATGTATATGTAAATGGATCAATTCAATTTTCCCTTCCTAGTAAATATGCAGCCATTCAAGTATTGGGTAAAGGATCATACGGGACAGTTTGTTCTGCTAAAGATCTTACTGCCAAGAAGACGTTTGGAAATAAAGAGCCTTTATTGGCTATTAAGAAAATTACTAACATCTTGAGTAGAGAGATACTATTGAAGAGATCTATTAGGGAATTAAAATTTATGGCATTTTTTCAAGGTCATAAGAATATTGTGAATTTAATAGATGTTGAATTGATTTTCGAAAAACCTTACGATGGGTTATACTGCTATCAAGAATTAATAGATTATGATTTATCTAAAGTTATTCATTCTTCTGTTCAATTGACAGAATTCCATATCAGATATTTCACTTATCAAATTTTATGTGGGTTGAAATATATTCACAGTGCAGGTGTCATTCATCGTGATTTGAAACCCGGAAATATTTTATGTACAGTTAATGGATGTCTGAAAATATGTGATTTTGGATTAGCAAGGGGTATCGAACAGATAGAAGTTACTAAATTCCAACAACAAGATATAACCAACTATGTCGCAACTAGATGGTATAGAGCTCCTGAGATTATATTATCTAGAAAGCCGTATAATAAATCTATTGATATGTGGGCAGTTGGTTGCATTCTGGCAGAATTTTATTATAGAAAACCACTCTTTATGGGGAATGACTCAATGCATCAAATTTATGAGGTAATTAAAGTGTTAGGGTATCCTCCAAGTCACTTATTAGTTGACTTTGGATCAGTGAAAGCATGGAATCTAGTGAATAGCAACTCATTTAATAATTCAGAAAAGAAAGATTGGGATGCCATTCTTCCAGGTGTTTCAATAGATGCTGTTAACCTGTTGGATCAACTCCTCTGTTGGGAGCCAGATAAACGTATCAGTGTCATTGATGCACTAGATCACAAGTTTGTTGATAGTGTAAGGCGGAACAACGACGAACCAGTTTGCCCTCATGGAATCTTTGACTTTGCCTATGAATCGGAATTAAAATCAATGACTAATTTAAAGGATTATTTAATAAAAGAAATATCCTTATTTAAGATTAACCGTAAGTAGTTTTATCATCTAATATATATATTTATATTGTAGTTTCGTTAATTCTTGGTTTTTTTCGCAATGAAGCTATTTCATTTCCCTTAATAAACACGCGCATAATTTAATATGGGCGCCCTCGAGCAGAAAGCTCGTCCTTCATGTTCCTTTCTTGATCGTGGAACAATTTGAATTTCAAGTATAAGTTTAAATACCTATATTGATATTAGCAATAGGTTAAATACAAAAGAATAATTTAAGATAAGTAAGCCTTCTTTGCTGTTTTAAACTTTTGAAAATAGTAAACCGAATATAAATTGCTACCTACATTGGCGGTATATAATAAATCATACTTACAAAAATGAGTAATTTGAACGTTTTAGAAAACAAAGGTCGGAGACGTGCATTATCGATCAATAGTATCGACCCGGATCATAGACATGCAATGGATAATTCTGTTGATAATTTACAACAGGATTTATCTTTAATCGGTTCACAATGGAATAAAGTAATCAGTGAGCACTCCAACCCTTTAGAATTGTCCCTAGCATTCCTAGATGATACATCTGTTGGTCTTAGTCATAGGTATCAGGAATTCACTCAATTAAAAGAAAAGATAGGATCTCATTTAAGAGCAGTAGTTGGAGAGCATAGTCAAGCATTTAATGCGAATGTAGCATCATACAGTAAAACTGTTTTAGCATTAACTGATGCACAAGAGAATACTACACAAATCAAGAAGAACCTGAATGAAGCAAATGAAAAAATTACAGTACGAAAGGAATCTCTTAAGGATTTAAATAACGAAAGTTTAAGATTAACAAATTCAATTGAAGCACTTTCATATATTGAAGAACTACTTCAAATACCTGAAAAAATTGAAGGGTGCATGAGGAAAGAAGAATTTAAAGAGGTACAAAATTTTTTGGAACGAGGGTTCGTTTTATGTAACATAAATTCGTTAAAAGCTTTAGAGCAATTGAAGCCAATTCATCAACAATTAGAAATGCAGGAACATGTTCTATTTCAAAATATGATAGATGAAATCCAAGATATAGTTTATTCCAAAAAGGGTAGTCTTACCCTCGATACAGATATTTTGGAGACTATTAGTGTATCTCAAAATGGTTTTACGAGTTTAGAAAATTATCTTTACAACATCGTTAACATAGATTTAATGAAACAATCTGTAGATTTGAACCAAAAACTATTCAACTTTATCAATAATGTGAAAATACCTGGATTCTTCCAAACAATCGCAACGGTTAATTCTGGAGGTAATTCTGACTATACTCAATTATTTGCTTTACTATCAATGCTGAAAGATATTAATAAATTGTCATTGGCCCTTAATATTTTGGTTGATCGGGCAAACGCTGAAATACATAGTATCATGATTAAAGCAACTGAAGTTGTACGTTCAAAACATCCTACATTATTGAAAATGGTCAAAAGTATTTCAAATGAAAACAGTTTTGGGCTTTCTATTAAAAATCTACTTTCGCTGATAATGAGAGAATGTTTCTGGGAAATATTCATCAAATATCTACTAGTAATTCAAAAGCATAGAGCAATATATGAGATTGTTAAAGTCCTTCAAACCTCTTCTGCAAGCTCCATGAATAAAAATTATTATAGATTTGATTTAATATGGGCCAAGCTTTTACACGAGGTTGAACAATTGATAACGAAATATATATACAATCCTCTATTGATATTAGGTGGAGATGCGCATAGATTGGGAAGGCAAGCACCAGTTCTACCAAAAAGAAAAGGTCAAAAGTTATTTTCACTCCAAAATAATGTCACTGACGTATCATATACGAAAGATCATGTTGGCGATTTAAAGGCGCTACTAAAGGATATATTTGTAGGTTTCACAGTTCCTCCAAATACAAAACTTGATTCTATTTATATCGAGGATGAATCTTTCGAAGAAGAAGAACCTCTTATCCCACCTTCTGTCTTTAATATGAAAGTGTTATTGGAACCATTTCTACTTTTTGTGCAAGCTTCCTCGAACTTAATTCCAGTAGAGATATCTCAAAACTCTACTCCATCAATAACTTTTTTTTCCAGTTTTATGCAAAAAAACTTTTATCCAAGAATTGGCTTAACTATAGATTATGTGTTTTCATCAAATGTTGAAAGTCTGAACCCCTATACCTTAGAAAATATCAATGAAAACCAAAGTATATTCAAATCCGCAGTTGATTTCCAAAGCTTTTTCTACAATATGCTTTATGTGTTTAATTCCTCAAATAGTTTTAGGAACCAGATGGTCACAATCATTTTACATACTCTTGAAAAGTTTTTCCAATACTATTCGAATATTTTTAACTCAATTATTGGAGCATCTGCTAGCGAAAGAAGCAATAAACTGACAACAGCTTGGTTTAATGACGAAAATTTAAAGAAATATGAGAGACATTTGTTAAAGGGAGAAAATACTGATTTTGTTAACGAATCTAAAGATTTGTTTAAATCTTGTCCCAAATTTTATGAAAAAGGGAAAGATATCGGTGAAGATAGTACTTTAAATTTACTTACACTAGATACAGTTATCTACTTTGCAAGCACAGTTTCTTGGATCATGACGTGGCTACCATCATTAAAAAATGTCCTTGAAACTTCAAGTAATACTGAAATAGTCTCAGTAATGAATGCAGATGAGTTGAGGTCTCATTGGTCCTTTTTTGAATATACGGATATAGAGAATTCGAACAAGATGATGACACTTAGAATATTACTTGATCACGATAATGGTGAGAAATTTGATACAATTATAAAAGGTTTCGAAGATTTGGAGTTGAATCTGATGACATTACTGAGATTCGATACTAGAGCTAAGTCCATTTACAATATTGGGAAATTTTTCCAAGAAACATCTTCTTGGGATTTAGAGGTTGGTAGTATCGAACTTTACCATTCAATTAGTTCACTAATTTCCCAACTAAGAACTACTGAAAATAAGCTAAACCAGCAGTTATCTGAAAACGGAAAAGATAAGATATTTGCTGGTATTGATGTCGTAAGTAGTCAAGCATTTATATTGGGAGCCTTTTCTATTGATGTGATTAATGAAAATGGTATCAAGAAAATTTTAAGGAATGTCAATCTACTCCAACATACCATTAGAAACTTGTACAGCGAACCATCAAAGATTTCGATGGCAAATACCATCGCATTTTATAATCTGATTTCTCAAACAGAAAATGTCTTGATTCAAAGGATCAGTGATAGAGAGTTCCCACTTCTAACCAAAGAAGACTTTAAAAACATACTAAGATTGCAATTTAGTGAGGAAATTGATCAACAGGTAAAACGTCAAAATTCCATGTCCACAAAGAATGCATCTAAGCCAATAAACAGAAGATACAATGAGGCCCTGAAGAAGATAGAAGCACTGGATATATAGAAGTATATAGTTTCTGAGGATCTCTAAATTGGAAGCATACATTACTTAGTTAATTAATAGATGTTAATACGTATTTATTTGTTGTAGAAATAAAGGAAGTCTACAGATGTGCCATTTTCTTTCATTAGATATATACTTCTTTGTTCTCTTTATCTGGTTAGATGGTGTGTGCCGCAGAGTCTAACTTTTTAAGGAACGGTAAACGTATTTTTCTATGAAAAATTTAGTATCGGGCAGAACTTACCTATATTTTAAATAGGAAATTGCAAGTAGTATTTGATATTAAAGATTTTAGGAGTCTAACAATTACATAATTTTAAGAATAACATAGGTACAGTATTATCCAGATAATTAGTTTAGCATTTTGATCAGAGAAAATGGATGCTATCGCAGATCCAAACTTTAAACATCAGACAAGTAAGTTAAATGCAACCGAAGAATCGCCCTCTTTATTGACTGTGATCATAGATATAACGCCACAGCTATGGACAGAATTTGATGGAAAGACCGGTAAAAATGGTAATATTCTAGACGTTTTACGATCATTAATTGTGTTCTTGAATGCTCACTTGGCATTTAATATATCAAACCAAGTTGCAGTTATCGCAGCTCATTCTCAAGGGATCAAATATTTATACCCAACCAACAATAATAGCACAGAACTATCTGAATCAGAAGACAGTAAAAAACCTAATGACCTTTCTATTATCAGCAAGAATATGTATAGACGATTTAGAAACGTAGATGAGACTTTAGTCGAGGAGTTATATACCCTGTTCAAAGGAGAGGAGAAAAACATTGGGAAACTAGTTCAAAAGAGTACATTAGCAGGAGCTATGTCCGCTGCATTAGCGTATACTGATCGAATAACTAGGGAGATGGAGAGTATATCTTTACAGTCCAGGATAATGGTTATAACATGTGGTAGCGATAGAGGTAATAGAGAGGAAATATTTCAGTATATTCCAATCATGAATTGTATCTTTTCAGCAACCAAAATTAAGTGTCCCATTGATGTTGTCAAAGTTGGTGGTTCAAAGGAGAGTACATTTTTACAACAAACTACAGATGCTACAAATGGTATTTATTTACATGTCGTCTCAACTGATGGGTTGCTACAATATTTTTCGACAGCAATGTTTATCAATCCCTCTTTACGTCAAATTATTGTTAAACCTAATAAAGGTTCTGTCGATTTTAGAACTTCTTGTTATATAACTGGCAGGGTTGTTGCCGTTGGTTACATTTGTTCTGTTTGTCTATGTGTGTTATCCATTATACCTCCAGGTAACAAATGTCCCGCTTGTGATTCTGAGTTTGACGAACGTGTAATCGCCAAGTTAAAGAAGAGGCCAGTAGTTCCAAGATTAGCAAAGAAGAAGAGCTCAGGTAACATATCTAAATAATAATATAATTTACACAACTCCCATGCACATTATGCATGGTGCATTCAAACATTCAACAATTATTATTGCTCACGTCTACATATATAATTTTGTATTAATGTAAAAAATCAGACATTACTTGGACATGTATGTCCTCTAATAATCGTTTGTTAATTTTAGCATAGTGATGGGATTTTTAGTCTGAACGCAATCAGAGGGTGTGTGCTTGACTCTGTTTTTAACCTTTCGAGAAACGATGACTGTTTACACTAAAAATTTACTATTTAAAAATTAATTTTTCACATATAATTGAAGAATAAAAGGTATTTCAAATGTATAACTACCATAGCAGTTCTACTAAAACATAGCAAAGTCAAAAATACAATGGAATACAAGAAGCCTTCGCCTTCAGTGGACCCAATATTTGGTCAAGTGCCTGTGTTTGGACTAAACGACGAGGATGTCAACCCATTTGTGGTACAATATTTAAAGGATGTTCGGAGAGAAGCTCTGACGACAAATGCAACTAATTATAAGGGAGCCAATCAAAAGAATGCCAAGTACCTAGCCAATATATATGATGACAGTGATAATGATCATAATGATTATCGTCCACATGATTCAAACTCTGAAGGAAACTCAGAAGCTCGAGATATTGTGAACCCAAACAAAAGAAGTATTGATGACCTCATCACACAACCTCCATTTGACACCGAAGAGAACACGAATAGCAATCCTACTGAACAGACTACATCTGACTTGCCCTTGAGACTGAAAATTTTTGATCAAAATGTAAATCAATGGTTGACATGGTTCAAGGATAGCAAAACAGAAATTCTAAAGTCAGCATTCACGACACAAGAATACGATGACGATATTTTGAACCTACTTCTTTTTTATCTAAAAGAACATCTGACTGAAACCAAGACTTCTAACTCTGGTATAGGGAGTCATTTGCAGAACTTATTGAAGAATCATAAAGTAAGTAATGAGGTTTTGGCCCTCCATTCATGGACCATTGATGAAACATGGGTTACTCCTACTTTAGCGAGACTAAGATCTATACGAATCAGAGACATTGATGATATAAAGACATGTCTTGTTGGGGACTATAAGAACAAGAAACCCAGAAACTATGATCAATGGACTCGTTTCATTCGTGAAAATGATCCGAATAGTTCTATGTTTTCTACTATGATCACACAAGATGATATCTGGATCATTCTTAAATTTATGAAACAAAATTGGTTAAAAGTGATGATAAAGACACCTGAAAAATCTGCAAGGACTGGTATGTGGCTTTTATATGCGATGTTCTATCTTTCAGAAAATCTCAATTCTACCCAAATAAGCACATTGCGCGATTTTGCCAAGAAATGCCAACGTCTCTATTTGGACAAATTCATCCTTCACTCTCCAGTCACTCAAGAGGACAAAATACCTTCCCCTGTACTAAGACTCCCTTCAGAGATGGTTGGCCTTGAGATTTTGCAGCCCCAAGAAAATCCGACTGTTGTTGAATTGGTTCTACTAGTAGTATCCGAAATATTTGGACAGAAAGATTTACTCGAATGGAGTGGTGTAGTCAAAATGGACTGATCAATATATATATATCATTTCCGGACTTCTTTATTTGGATTCAAATGTAATAAGTCGAGATGGATCTACAAATACATGACGCACCTGCTAATATTCAGACTCCTTCAACCTCTCAGAATATCTCCCCCCATACGCACATGTACACACAGTATAAACGACCGATGAGCCATCCTTCTATCTGGCTCTGATTTATCACAGAGATGATAAGACCATCAAAATGGAATTTGTTTGAAGAACAATCGCTGCCCGAGTCAATTTTTCAATAGGAAAGTATTGTTTTCTTCACTTTATGGAGCAGCGCGATGAGTGCCGTTCATCCATCTAAATGAGATTCTCATTTGAGAGAATTGAAAACGACTTTCAATGATAACTTTCTGAAGGATTATTATTTTTTTTTTTCTAGAAAGGTTGATAAGTTACATAAATATATACTTCTTAGTTCATATAGTAGTCATAGTATTTTTATAAAGGGTCGTGTTTTTTTGTTTTTGTTTCAAATTTGTTTCGATTAAATTCGCATCTTTTTTTGGTTTAAGTCTTGATACAAATCTAGAAATATCATCTTCGAGTGTCCAAATTAGAGTAGTTTACCATGTCCGAAGAATTTCCAACTCCTCAATTAATAGATGATTTAGATATCCAACCGGTAAAGGATAATACTAGAGTTTTTAAGGACTTATTAGCTGGTACTGCTGGTGGGGTCGCCCAAGTTCTAGTGGGTCAGCCGTTTGATACTACAAAGGTTCGTTTGCAAACTGCTACTACTAGAACATCAGCTGTAGAGGTAGTAAAAAGTTTATTAAAGAATGAAGGTCCAAGGGGGTTTTACAAGGGTACTTTGACTCCATTGGTTGGTGTAGGTGCATGTGTTTCTATCCAGTTTGGTGTCAATGAAGCTATGAAAAGATTCTTTCATAGCATGAATAAGAATCCAAACAATTCAACCTTATCGTTACCTCAATACTATATGTGTGGTGTAGCTGGTGGTTTTAGTAATTCTTTTTTGGCAGCACCAATTGAACATGTCAGAATTAGATTACAGACTCAGACCTCATCAGGCCCTAATGCAGAATTTAAAGGGCCATTAGATTGTATACGAAAGCTAAGAGCACAAAATGGTTTAATGAGAGGTTTCAATGCTACTTTATTGAGGGAAGGACATGGTTGTGGTACATATTTCTTGGTTTACGAAGCATTAGTAGCTAATGAGATTAACAAAGGTTTCAAAAGAACAGAAGTTCCAACTTGGAAACTTTGTATGTTCGGTGCCTTGTCAGGTACAACATTATGGATTATGGTATATCCGTTAGATGTGATAAAATCTGTTATGCAAACAGATAATTTAAAACAACCAAAATACGGTAAGTCAGTTATCTCAGTGGGTAAACAATTATATGCTAAACATGGTATGTCCGCCTTCTTAAAAGGGTTCGGGCCTACAATTATAAGAGCTGCCCCAGCTAATGGTGCTACATTTGCTACGTTTGAGATAATGATGAGAATGCTAGGATAAGATGAAGAAGAAGAGGAATAATATGTATGTCTTACTACTTTTAACAAATAAATGTATATAGAAATGTATAATAACAGTTATAAATGGTAGTAATAAGCATAATAATAATTATAATATTTTAGTAAAGTATTTTACTTATTTGTTATGTATTCTGTGTCTTTTAAAGGCCTATTCTATAAAGGCCGTTTCGAAAAATGTTCACTTTCTTTTACTTTTCAATCCAATCTTCTTAGTAAATATTCAACTTCAACTTCTTTGGTTAAAGGAATAACAAATTCTTTATAGATTTTTACTAGATACTCAGGTGTAATTTTTCTTTGACTCTCTTTATTAGTTGGATCAACACCGTATACCTCTGCTTTGGTGGTCAATCTCTGAAGAATCTTTTCTTCGACGGCAGAATTTGTAATGTGTTTCATAATACCATCAATATCTCTCTCTTTAATTAATTTTGTGTACAACTCTTCATCTGATCTAAACTTTGCTTCGGCAACAAATTTACCAAAATGAATTCTTCTACTCAGACTTTGTAAACATTGTATATCTGTCATAGCAACAGAACCATAGTTATTAGCATCATCACCATCATATTTTGAAATTAATGGAACAATTTCTTTGATGTAGACGCCTTTAATTTTATTATTATAATTTACATTTTCTGCACTTGGTGCCAAAATTTGAGGAAAGTTAATACTTGGTAGTATTGAACTTAAAATTTTATCTGGAAAGAATGGAGTTTCATCTGGCGATTCGAATCTTCTCAATTGTGATTCAGTAATTTCTAGGTGCATTAAAGCCCAGTCTAAGAAAGAACCATCAAAATCACCCAACGGAAGTTTTGTATTGTTTTCAATGTAAACATTGCCATTGGTTGGGAAATGTGACCTTTCAATGAATTGGAAAATAATAGAATCTTCCATTTTCACCAATTCATTTCTAATATTTTCCAGTTTGAAAACTGTCTCTGGTTTAGTGAAATCCATTCTGTTTTTCGATGTAAATTTTACCTTTATATGGATATGAACTTGCCATAAATGTGCATAATGGACATACTTAAATAATTGTGAAATATTCTCTAATTTTTATAATAGGATTCCACTCTAGTTTCTAACTTCATTTCGTGGTGATAAGCTTACATACAAGGCGTTGATCGCATCGATTGTCATCATAAATTATTGTTACTCATATTTTTTTTTTCGCTATCAAAATTCCAATCCAACGGAGATTCTCTCTTCTGTGCATATGGAATAAGTTATTATGCAATTGTTGACGCAAGTCGATAGCGATAGGTAGTCTTGAGAAGTGAATAAGGACCATAATAATCGAAATTGTAACCTGTGAATCATTCAATTGATGACATCCGGATCTCTCTGTACTATAATGGATACGGTGAAGTAAAAAATAAAAAAATTGTATGTATTTATTTTTATTCAAGAATATTATTATATAATGTACGTTTTTTCAGCCGTCATAAATTATTTCAACTTATTAGGTGGTTTTATTAACCAAAGGTCTTTATTTTGTAGTGTCCTTTGGTACGTCTTCAGTTGTACTATTTATTGTATTGTTGTCTTTCTTGTTCGGTTTTATTAATTCTCCAGTTTCTGGATCAGAAATAGAATTTAAAAGAGTTTCGTTTGCCTTTGCTTCTCTATCTAATTCATCTTGGTTCGTGTAAAGTCCCCAAGATCTAAACCATAAAAATCTTTTAATGCGTGATAACTTGTCATCATCTAACCCATAATTTTGATAAGAACTAAATAAACCCTTCTCTACATCATCTGCAGTAATTCCATAATCTACTTTTCCAACCAAAGTACTTTCTATCTTACTTAGTAGAACACTTCCTTCGATACATATAAGCATACCAATAGCCCAATATATTACATATTTATGTTGTCGTGATGAATCATCGTCATTATTTTTGTTTCTTTCATTAAACTCATACATATCTTCCCATGTACCAGCATGCCAATACCTGGAAGTATCATCAGATGAGAAATTTCTAGACCGGAAAATGTCATTCAAATCGGTTGTAGATGGTCTTCCATGAGACCAGTTCGAACGGTTTAGGTCATAGAGTCTTTTTTTGTTTTTGTTGGTCAGTATATCGTAAGCCTGTGAGATTGTCTTAAATCTATTCACTTTTTCCTCTGTTGTTAAAATCTTGCCCATTATGGCATGGTCTGCTATATCTCTTGAGAGGGAAATATCTGGATGGTAAAGTTTCACATATTTATGATATTTTTTCTTTAAATCAGATAGTTGGGTATTGGTTAGATGTGTAGAAACTTGTGAATTTATTCCAAATATCTCATAAGGGGTGGGATATTTCATGCCCGGCCATTGTGAATCCTGAAGAGGTTCTTTTCTTCGATTTGATTTCCTTGATAACTCTAGTGCATCATTTCCAATAACTTTTGCATAATATCGACAATTTTGAAAATGATATGATCTCCCTATTCGGTTAATCAATGATCTTTTTGTATTAATTTTTGCTATAGCAAAAAATGTAATCATTGTTAATTGTATGAAGTGGTATTCCTTACTTAATGAGTTGATAGAGGGATAGCATTGAAGGTATGTGTAACAATAATAAATTTATCAACGTAAAAATATAGTACTTAAGGTTCACAAGTCAGAGTAGTTGTAAAGTTATATGTTACCTATCTGGAAACTGAAATGGATTCGTCTAGATCTAGGGCATACAGATAAACTCTGTAGAATTAAGTAGTCCCCCGTAAAGCGAAGTCCGGGACGATTGATGAGCAAATAAAAATAAACAGGTGCATCTAATTTTAAACCACAAAAGAAAAGTTTGACGTTTATAATAGAACATATTGAGTATAATTGGAAACCGTTTCAACAACATTGCTCGTTAACATCATAATATGTTATAAACTGTAATTGAAAACTACCACTGAACTATCGTTAGTAGATTACAAGAAGAAACAGTTCAAAAACTATCTCTGATACATCTCTCCAAGTAATAACGTAATGTTGATGTTCTACTCTGCAATTTAAATGACAGCAAAGGGTAATATACCGACGTTTCCCTATCTGAATTGAAAGTTTCCCAATTGAACTAACAGTAGACCACGATTAATTTTAACTAATACATATGACAATTATTAAATTTAAATGTATTCCCAGGTTTCAAATTTCAAAAAAAACAAGGAAATATTTAATGACTAACTAGTGGGTCTATGGCTTCAAGTTGTCACGGAAAAACTTGATATTTACTCAGTTATTAAATTAAATACAAGAATATAGCCAATTCAAGGAGGTGTGACTATTTAATTTAAAGGAAGGTGTTGTGGTAAGTATATTATTTGTAATTCGATTCTATAATGTATAGATAACTAATTGAACGTGATATATTAAAGATGGTTATAACGTGATAGATCTAGTATGCTATATTATACTACTTGATAATGTCACAGAGTTATCGTGCTTACCTTAACGTTGATGATATTTTGTTCTGTAATTAAACTTCCCGTCTCTTACTCTCCT